TCACTACTTTCAACTGTATAGTGGAGTTAAAATTTGTTAGGTGAGGGTAAGGTACCGTTTGATTGCACTTTTTAGAGGTCCAAATCTGAAAATGCTACTTTTCAGACCTCACCCCTTGTTTGGTTGGACCTCTTAAACTGGGTTTGAAACTGATTTTCAGATCTGAAAATCATAGACCTTGGGCCGGCTCTTGACGTGCTTAGACGAGTTTCAGAGTATGCCCAATGTCCAAAATATCCTTACAATTTTTTTTGTAAATGACCTGAGTTACCCCTAATACCCCCAAACCCATAAAACCAAAACATTCGACCTCTCTTTCTCCGTCTCTCTCTCTCTCTCTTCGCCCTATCTTCTTGCCACAGCCACTGCAAGTTGTAGTGGTGGCTCTCTCTCCCCCTGTCTTCTCTCTCTCTCTCTCTTGCTCTCTCGCTCGCTCTCTCTCTTCGTCCTATAGTCCTGCCACTGACGCTGCAAGCTTTCTCTCTCTCTCCCTTGTCTTCCCACCACTGCCACCGCCGTTGTCTTCTCTTTCTCCCCCTAGCGGCAGCTCTCTCTCTCTCCTCTGTCTTCTCTCTCTCTCTCTCTCCCTCCCCTGTCTTCCCACCACTGCCACTATAGCTACAACAAGCAGCAGCAGTGGTTTGGTACTTCGGTGAATAAGAATAATGCTTTTATTAATTATTAATTATAAATTATTTTTATTAATTATTTTAATATTTTTATTAAATTTACTTGTGTTATTTATTAATTATTAATTATTTTTATTAAGTAGTAATTTTTAATTATTTCATTAATTTTTAAAAATTATTTTAATTTTTATTTATGTGAATTATTAATTATTTTAATATTTTTATAATTATTAATTTTTTTAATTTCAATCATTTCATTTATTAATTAGTAATTGTTAATTTATTATTTATTATTTGTATTGTTTTAATATTATTTTGAGGTTGAAAATTATTTTTATGAGATAATGTAAATTGAATTCAACATTTCCAAATTGCACATTTTAGTGGTAAAATAGTAAAATCAATAAATTTCAAATGGTAAAGGGTTGTTCCAACACAAACAAACTTATGGATTCAGATCCTCTAAAAAGTAGAAAAGAAATTATGCCTCTTTTTAGATTTCAAACACATTTAATATCTTTTTAACTTTTAAGATCTGAATTTTTAGATTTATCAAACGCCACCTAAGTTGATCACGGGACAAACACAAGATAATAAAAAGAAAAAAAAAAACTTTGTTTGGATTTAATGCTTGAAGCAGTTAAAAGAAGCCGGTGACCCGAGTTACCCTTGATACCCCCAAACCCGAGTTACCCTTGTTTGGATTTAATATTTTTATTAAATTTACTTGTTTTATTTATTAATTATTAATTCTTTTTATTAACTAGTAAATTTTAATGATTTCATTAATTTTTAAAAATTATTTTAATTTTAATTTTTGTAAATTATTAATTAGTAATTATTAAATAATCATTAATTATTTTTAATTTTAATTGTTTCATTTATTAATTAGTAATTATTAATTTGTTATTTTTTATTTGTATTGTTTCAATATTATTTTGAGGTTAAAAATTATTTTTTATGAGATAATGTAAATTGAATTCAACATTTCCAAATTGTATGTTTTAGGGGTAAAATAATAAAATTAGTAAATTTCATATGGTAAAGGGTTGATCCARCACAAAAAAACTTATGGATTCACATTCTCTAAAAAGTAGAAAAGCAACTATGCATCTTTTTAGATTTCAGACACATTTAATATCTTTTCAACTTTTTAGATCTGAATTTTCAAATTTATCAAACGCCACCTAAGTTGATGACGGGACAAACACAAGATAATAAAAAGAAAAAAAAAACTTTGTTTGGATTTAAAGCTTGAAGCAGTTAAAAGAAGCCGGTGACCCGAGTTACCCTTGATACCCCCAAACCCAGCAAACCTAAACACTCAACTCTCTCTAGCTCTCTCTCTCTCTCTTGCTCACTCTCACTCTCGCTCTTTCTCTCTCTTCCCTCCACATTCCTGCCATCGCCACTACAACTTGTAGCGGCGACTTTCTTTCCTTGTCTTCTCTCTCTCTCTCTCTCTCTCTCCCTCTCCCTCCCTCCCTCCCTCCCTTCCTTGTCTTCCCTCTACTACCACCGTCGTTATCTTCTTTCTCTCCCCTAGTGGTGGCTCTCTCTCTCTCTCTCCCTGTCTTCTCTCTCTCACTCTTGCTCTCGCTCT